AGGGTCGGGCGAAGGCCACGCGCCGCCTCTTCGGCGGGGCCCTGCCTGCCCCGCTGCGTCGTCGTCCGCGCCGTCATCCGCGCCCCCGGGCGTCCGGCGATGTGACTTTGCCGCCCATCGAGAAAAAGAAGACGGCATCCCCAGACCTCCGACAATCTTCCTTTCAATCCGGCATGCTTCCTCGAGTCTGGCCCCCGGGGCCCGCTGTCGGGCCTCGGAGCCACCACAGCTCGATCCGGGGCGCCCATTGCTGGGCCCAGGGGGCACCAAAGGTGGATCCAGGGCGAGGAGCTATCTTCTTGGGAGGCGGTCGGGAGCTGTGTGGCCGCGGGCTGCAAAACCCACATCGGCGGACGTCAGGGTCGCTATCCGCGCCGAATCCACGCGGAGTCCGCTTCGGATTCTCCGTGGCAGGGGCTCGAGGAGAGAGCGCTGCTTGCGCGATGGACAGGGCCCCCCGAAGCTGCAGCGTGGCGAGCGGGCGGGGGGGGAAGCCAACACGGGGGGGTCGCGCCCGCACGTGTCGGGGAAGTTTTGGCCGGGGTCAGCACCAACGCGGGTCGGCCAGGGCCCTGTCGCGAGGCCCGGCCGGCCGCCTGTAGTAGCTCCCAAACCCAGGCCAGCGGAGTGCGGAATGGGGGATTCGGCCCCACGTGGCTCCCAATCTCGGGTCGGCCAGAGGGGACTGGCTGAACCTCGTGAGCGCTGAACCCCGCACGCGGCCGGCGTTTCCCCAGCGCCCATCTGGATCCTGGGGGGCGGCCAAGCGCTGCGTCGAGAGGCGCTCGGCGGAGAGGGGCCAAAAAGCCGGCTGCGCGCAGCGGTCTTCGCAACCCGGCCAGCCACAGCTGGGGGAGCCGAAAGACGTCAGTCCGCTGGACCTCCCGGAGACCGGGGGCGTCGTCCTTCCACGCAAGACGGCGCGGGGCGCGGAGTCGGGTGACCCAGGACTGGGCCCCGTGCTCTGGGCCCAGCGAGGCGCACAGGCGCTCGGACGATCTGCATATTCGACTCCAGCTGTTGAGCATGCGGCAGCGGCTTCCTCATGGGGCTGGCATGGAAATTCTGTCGACCATTTCTCTGGAGCCGTGGGAGCGCGGCGCAGCGACCGTGTCCCCAGATGGGCGTCGAAGCCGCCAGGACCCCTCGAAGGGTTAAGGAGCTCAATGGATGTTGCAAGAGCTGGGGGCCTTTTGTTGAGCTTTTACTTCTGGAGAATAACTATTGTTGATCCCCCCTGCCCGGTGCAGCATGTTTTTCAAACAAAGTGCTCCTCCCGGGGCTCGTGCCCTGTCTTTTATCAAAAGCAAATATTGGTCCTCAAACTGCGCCCCTGGCAACGGACTGCAACAACAACGGCTCCCGTCTGCTACTTCCTCACAAGCAATTTCAGCTTCGTGCGCTCGCTCGGGACTTCCTCCTAATTCATCCAGAACCGCGCTGTCGCGCGGGACTTCCTCACAATGTATTGCGGCGCCATGTCCCCAAGACTCAAGACTCGCGCTCTCGCTGTGGATTTCCTGGCGATTTACTTGGGAATCGCGCTATCGCTCCCAATCCCCCGCCCGAACTGCCCGATAGGGCCCGCCCGCCTGACCTGGCCGTCTGGTTCTGCCGCTTGTACTCCTGATTCAAACCATCCTCCTACAAATCTCCCTCGTGCTCCATCCTTCTCACTCCCCCTTGTCTCTTCCCTCCTCCCTTCCTTCCCTTGTTTTACGGGTTGCGCTGACTACACGTGGCACGTAAAGAGGATATATCCCCAGGAAGGGCACGATCGAAGACGAAAAGAGCGGGTATCGAGGGTTTGGGACTGTGTTGTTGAATGACACGCGAGCAGACAAGAACGAACAACATTTCAATGATTTTTGCTGTTTGCTCACTTCTGTAAAACATAATTATTGTTGATCCCCCCATTCGGTGTCCAGTCTGCTTTTTCAAATAAGCTGCTTCTCCATGCCGATTACAAATAAAAGCCTTGGGCCTCAGAATGTGCTGATGGGCCCCAGGCAACAACAATCATTTTAAGACTGTTCGCTCTTATCTGCCCGAGTGTCATTCAACGTGTATTTCCTTCACCATCGCTACCCGCCCTCTCCGTCTTCGATCGTACCCCTTTGGGGGGGGACACCTTCTTCCCTACAGGCCGGGCCCCGGCAAGCGGCGGGGTGGCCGCGGACCGTCGGCCTGGCCAGCGGCAGCGCTGATCGGCGGCAGCCCCACCCCAAGAGGGACGGACACGGGACCGACCGCGACGACGACGACGACGGCGACGACGACGGCGCGCAGAAGCGAGAGCGAGAGCGAGAGCGGGGCCACGAAGAGCGCGAACGAGCGGGGGCCAAGAAGGGCAAACAATGCGGGGCCACAGAGGGCAAGGACGGGGCCACTGAGGGTAGCAACGGGTCCACGAAGGGCAGCGAGGGGGCCACGAAGGGCTGCAACGGGGCCACGCAGAAGGCAGCGAGGGGGGCCACGAAGAGCTGCAACGGGGCCACGAAGAGGGGGCCACGAAGGGCTGCAACGGGGCCAGGAAGGGCAGCGAGGGGGCCACGAAGGGCTGCAACGGGGCCACGAAGGGCAACGAGGGGGGCGCGAAGGGCTGCAACGGGTCCACGAGGGCAGCGAGGGGGCCACGAAGGGGTGCAACGGGGCCACGAAGGGTAGTGAGGTCCCAATTCCCAAGTAAGATGCGAGGGAATCATAAGCGTGAGCGCGACTCCTGGGTGCCTGAGTGTCGGGAGCGCGGCGCTTGAGCAAATTGCGGGGAAAGCCAATGCAAGAGCGCGACTCTTGAATACATTGCAAGCGGGTCTCCAGCGAGAGCGCGACTCCAGAGCGCCGAGAGAGCGTTTCCGGAATAAATTGTAACGAGGTCCCAAGCCAGAGCGCGATTCCTGAATAAAACGTGAAGAAATCTCAGGCCTGAGCATGGGTCCTGGCTACATTGTGGGGAAGTCTCAGGCGGATGAAAATCAAAGTGCGGGCCCCGGGGGAAACATTTCAAGTGAAAAACACAATGCTCACTGGAGGGGGGGATCAACAATAATTAGAAGGCTCCGACCACTTTATTCTGCGTCGCACCGCACCCCCTCTTGCTCCTATCCTTCCCCAGCGTTCCCCAGTGGCCAAGTGGAACCTCTGCCCAGTGCCCCCTCCGCCCCGACTATTTTATTCCGCGTCGCACCGCGCCCGCCACCCCTCCCCGCCCCCCTCCCGCCCCTCCCCCGCCCTCCCCTTGCCTGCCCCGCCCCCCTCCTGCGTTCCCCAGTGGAACCTCCGCCCAGTGCCCCCTCCGCCCCGAACATTTTATTCCGCGTCGCACCGCACCCGCTCCCTCTCCCTGCCCACTCTCCCAGCCCCGCCCCTGCCCGCCCACCTCCGCCTCGACCATTTGATTCCGCGTCGCACTGCGCACCCCCTCCCACCCCTCTCCAGTGTTCCCCAGTGGCCCAGTGGAACCTCAGCCCAGTGCCCCCTCCGCCCCGACCAGTCGAGTCATTCCGCGTCGCACCGCGCCCGCCCTCCCCTTCCCCGCCCCGCTCCCGCCCCTCCTCCGCCTCCCTCTTGCCCGCCCCGCCCCCGTCCTCCCCCTCCCCAGCGTTCCTCAGTGGCCCAATGGAACCTCCGCCCAATGCCTCCTTCGCCTCGACCATGTTATTCCGCGTCGCACCGCGCCCGCGCCACCCCCCCACCCCCTCCGCCAACCCCTTCCCAGCCCAACCCTTGCCTGTTCCCCTCCGCCTCGACCATTTATTCCGCGTCGCATCGCACCCCCTGTCCCTAGCGTTCCCCAGAGGCACAATGGAATCTCCGCCCAGTGGCCCTCCGCCTCGTTTTTTTTTTTTTTTTTTTTTTTCCGCGTCGCGCCGCGCGCCCTCCCCAGCGTGCCCCAACGGCACATAAAATTTCCGCCCAGTGCCCACCCCTCCGCCCCGATCACTTTGTTCCGCGTCGCGCCGCGCCCGCGGTTCCCCTCCCTGCAGCCCCGTGCCCCCTCCGCCCCGATTGTTAAAATCTGCACCACGTCGCACCCCCCCTCCTCAACGCCCCCCTGCGTCCCAATGGCCCCCTCCGCCCCGACCATTATATTCCGCGTCGTGTCGCGCCCTCCCCCTGTCCCTGCCCCCCCCTCCTCCCTTCCCCGGCGCTCCCCAGCGACCCAGCGCCCCCTCCGCCCCGACAACTTTATTCTGCGTCGCGTCGCACCCCGTCCTCCCCAGCGTTCCCCCGCGTCCCAGTGGAGCCCCCACACCCAGTGCCCCCTCCGCCCCGACCAACCTTTTCAGCGTCGCGTCGCACCATCCCCTGCCTGCTCCCGCCCCCCCCCTCCCCAGCGCCCCCCAGCGTTCCCCAGCGGCCCTGCGCCCCCTACGCCCCGATCACTTTATTCCGCGTCGCGCCGCCCCCCCCTCCCCGGCGTTCCCCTCCGCCGCAGTAGGGCCCCGTACCCCTTCGGGGTGGAACATTTCATTCCGCCTCGCGTCGCACTCCCCCTTCCCGCCCCCGCTACTGTGTCCCCAGCTCTTAGCTCTGTCCCCACAGGCCGCCTTGTCTTCGCCACCCTGCTGCCCCCTTAGCCGGGTGCCCCTCTGTCCCCAGCTCTGACCCCAACTGCCCCGCTGTCTTCGCCATCCGCAGCCAGCCGAGCGCCCCCTCCGCTCCGACCACTTTCTTTCGCGTCGCCCCCCTCCCCCCCGCCCTCAGTTCTGTCCCACCGCGGCGCGGCACCAGCCCCCCCATCCGCAGCCAATATACGCTCTCCGCGCCCCTCCCCCGCCAAGTACGGCGCCCCTCCGCCCTGGCCGCGTTCTGTCGGCACGGCACGGCACTGGCCCCCCTTCCACTCCGACCAAATCATTCTCTTGTACACGGTGTCTAAAACTCCGACCACTTTATTCCGCGTCGCGTCGCACCCCTTCCCCGCTCCCCTCCCCTCCCTGCCCAGTGATCCCCGGCGGCCCAATGGAACTGCCGCCCAATGCCCCGCCCC